AAGAGCAGGTGGCTAAGGTTTACGGAGATTTCGCTATGGTCTACAACTCACCTACCTTACTCATTCGAGCTTAGGATATCGAAGGGGTGGAAGTTATCACGATTGCATGACGAGGAAAAAATATGGCGAAAAGTTGCTCAGGCGCCCATATCACGTTACCTCGAGTTTACTGGTCGGATTCCTTGTTCTCAGCTCATTTTGACCGTTTGCATTTTCAAACGCAATTTCAAGCAGTGGGCAACGACCACAGCAAACAAAATCCTAGTTTCTTCTCACTTTGTGATACTGACTTCCCTTCGACAGAGAAATGAGAGAAATATAAGTACAACCAGAATTCTAGTCACCTTCTTCTGATTCAGCCTCTGTTTACGTGATGCTTTGCTGAAGGTTGCGGACAGTAACCAAAGTGTACATCGTGAATATTATCTGTCGAAAACCTGCAGAATGTTTATTCCAATTTTCCTGTAGTTAAATCCATAAGCGGTGTGTTTCCTTGTGCATGCAGAATGAGGTTCATTTGGTTGGGCGCTGAATAAAATAGAAAAAGCGAAGATTTTAGGCATTATTAATAGGAGTGCCTTTCTCTGATAGCTTATGGCACGAAGCTGATCTCCATCTTCGCACCACCAGTTAGATGCCTTCTATTTTTCTAAGGTAAAGTTTACATTTCTGAGCGGCTAGAACCCTTTTCAGTTTTACGCTTCCTCCCGTTCGATAACAAAGTGGCTCTCATGGAGTGACAGTTCGATTGTTCTGTTATTGCTTCTAGCCCACGGTCTTGTAATTGTGAGCCCCTGCTTGGCCGACTGAGATATTATGACCCTGACGACTGAACAAAAGTAGTGTTCAGATACAGTACAATTGTTATCAATCGATCAGACCACTTCTATCCAGTACCTCTGCTTACTTGAACGGTACTTGTGATGAAAAATGAGGTCAGATGTCATAGACAAAATGAAGCAAAGTTAATGTAGGCAGTTCTACCTTTCAGGACTCCGTTAACTCTAAAACAAGCTTTGCAGTAGGAAAATACGTCAAGATGGCATGCAGTTGCCGATTGTATTTGTTATGTAATTAATACTGTTTCTGCTTTTTTAATGACTCTCGTAGCGAATGATCTCCGATGCTGTTTCCGCTCACGATCGGTTAACGTATGAACGCAGTGCGAGTAGGCATATGGTACAATTGTGAGCAATTAGCAGGTACAGCTTGTTCTGGCTATGCAGCTGGCGGCTTTAAAGCAGACAGCTGAGTGACATTCGTCGTTCCTCTGCCGATGTTCGCGGGGACACGTACTCGCTTACGAGTCACTTCTGCATAGCCAGTAAGCGCGTTTTTTTCGTTACCTGACCACGCAGCAGTCGATCATCGGCCGTATTACAGCGAAACCACAGCGGTGATTGCGGACCGTCAGTGGCACAGGCAAGTTACGTCACCCTTAACTCGTGAAACACTGATCGATACCTCATTTTGCTGATTTTTTCCCTCTTTTCTTCCTTAATTTGAGAGGGGCAGTCAACCTCACTGGGTGCCATTAACCTACAGCGACTGAAGTCGAGTTCCGATCGGCCGCAGTCGCTTGTAGGCGTCCTTTCTGTCCTTATGTGGATGT